CGTGGTTCCATGGTTCCATGGTTCCCCTTATAACCAAACATACTGGTCAGTCGTCCCGCGCTGTCGCACGGTCCTCCCTCCCTCATAAGGGGAACGTCTACCCAGTGCACGTTCTCGTTTCACTCGAAGCGCACTGTATTGAGAGTCGTCCCACGACTCTATTGGCTATCATTCACATCGTTCATGTTCTGTGTTGGAGTCCGGTCGCACCTACGATGCTCCCTCCTGTTCTTCGTAGCCCTTGAACAATTCAGCTTCGTGCCTCACGGCACTCACTGAATCGCAACCCTGCAGGTGGCTTTCCATAGTTGTAATGTGCCCTCCGGGGGTTATCTTGTTATTGGTAGCCTGGAAGCAAAGGCTCATGTGCCTGGTACTACATCACATCACTGTTGGGCGTTCGTCGGTAGCCAAGGTGGTCATTTTCGTGTCACTCAAGGTTGAAGCCATCGTCAGGTCTATATTAGGCAAGTGAAGCACCATCTCCGATGGATCTATTTACTACCATCTCAACTACGTGAGAGGCGGAACTCCGCCTTCAAGAAACAGGTGTCACACCAATTCCCGCACCGTGATCTACGGAGAAGATCCTCCACGCGCTCCTCTGTGCATCCAAGACGGGCCAACGCCCTCCCCGGCTCTTTTAGTTTCCTTCCACTAAACGACGTCCAAGTGTCTGACCACGGACTGTATCTAGAATGCTCCTTCCATGCCTCGCACCGGCCACAGGCAAGGCAAAACCAGACGACTACGTCTACTCGATCGGCAATGCGGGCCGCGATTCCCCCGTCGCATCTCTTCCGCTTCTTCACCATTCGCTTGTCGGGAGGTGGACACGCCACTTGGATGTCTTCATCCTCCAGGATTGCCCCCGGCGATACGGCTTGATCGTACCCACTATCGTTGTTCATGCCCTGCACGATAAAAGGAAAAGGTCAATGACAAGTGCCAGAAGCACACAGAACCCCACGGTCTGTAAAAAAAGAATGCATAGCAAGCAAGAAAGTGCAGTCCCTACCTGCATTGTGTGTTGGGGAGGTGGCGGCAAAGCCTCCCATGTGCCGTCGTCACTGACTGTCGGTTCTCTCCAGAGAGGTTGCTGCTCCGTTGCATAAGCAACTCCATCGTCGCTGTCAAAGAAGCCACCGGCTTCCAAGTAGTCGTCAAGAGGGTCACTGCCCCGTTCCCAATCCTGGGCGTCTTCCATGATGTCGCCCTTCCAAGGTGTCAATCCCTCTCGCGGCGGGATGTGGATGGTCCAACGCCGTGCGTTTCCCGTCAAGGTGTTTTCCCTTGTGGGTGTGTGCTCCCACTCGGTCGCAGGGACAAAGCGGCTCTCTAGCCTCGAGCAGTGCTCTGAGTCAGACACTCGTCTGACTGGTTCGTACCAGGTTGGTGGGTGATGGCGGATCACGTTTGCAATTACAAACAAAGCCCAAAGCAACAACGATCAAAAGATCTACTGTCCGGAGAACAGGTTTGGTTGTGCACGGCACAAGTGAAGAAGAAAAGAGTTTGACTCTGTTCAAGAGTGGGCGAAGGTGGCCTTCTTATGTCCCCCGGACGTGGGTGTCTCCACCCGTGCTTGTCGCGACAACACGCGTTGTTGCAGTCAAAACCGCAACCTATCCCGCATCATTTGCCACAAATGATCCGCTCGCTGTCACTCGCTCTCGCGTTTACTAACCATTGTCCTCGCTCTCCTCGGATCAATGTATGACCCATCCTCCGGATGTTTATGACGTAGGGAATGACCC